TTTTTGAAAAAAAATTTGAACACCTAGATAAAATTTTACCTACAGGGGACCTTTTCCTAAAAAAAAAAAAAAAAAAAAAAAAGGGGGGGGGGGGCATTTCGAACTCCTATAACCCCTCCTGGCTACAGGCCTGACAACTGTAAGTAGACTGAAGGAGTTCTAAACTTGTGAGCAATTACCATACCAGTAATTGTCTTGGCCTAAACATGGAAACAACTGCTAGTTACAGAACTGCCATTCTTTTCACATTCCCCAGATATATGTTCACATTATGTCTACCATGTTCTCTTGTAGCCTGTGAGAAAGCCATAAAACCTGCCCAATCACATTACCATTCACCATCTGTACAGACAGAGCCACTGATAATGATATTTTGTGATTACGTATTTCCACTCGATACATAACGGGAGTAGCTATTGCATGCAATATGTCAACTCTATTGAGTTGGCCTTCAGAATTCAGAACAGAACGAATCTGAGGATGGCTGTCCTTTGCCGTGGTGTATCTAAGCACTATGACCTAGTTGACACTTAAAAAGGGGTGCCACTTGAAAAGAGGTGGTACTAAGAGTTTTTTCAGAATAACTTGTGTATCAGTGAAAGCAAAAAACAAGGTGCAATAGCATTTTCCAACTAGTGCCACAATTTGTAAATTCAACAATAAAATAATGTACTAGTAATTGGTCTATTTTTTCCACTAGACAGCCTGGGCAAATAGTAGAATCTTTTTTCAAATTATTAGAGAGAGAGAGAGAGAGAGAGAGAGAGAGAGAGAGAGAGAGAGAGAGAGAGAGAGAGAGAGAGCAAATAGTAGAATAATTTTACCAAATTATTAGATGGATAGAAAAGAGAAAGAGAGAGAGAGAGAGAGAATGACAATTTTACATGGCTGACTACCCCTAATTCATGTGATCCATAGTACAACAATAGCAGCAAGGAATTCAGAGATCCATACCATGACCATATAACGATGACTGGGAATTACAAAGACACCTGCTGCAATACACGTATCAAATTGATTTTCCGTAGTCAGGGTGGAAACATTTAGAAAAGAGTCCCCAGGGGTGGAAAGAAGAGAATTATACAAGTTTGATGAAGAGATCGAGGTACATTGTAGATCATCTTGAGTAGTTGCCAGGGTTGCATTTAATTAGGGCCCTTTTCACAAACAACAGTTGGTGGTCTTCTGCGCTGCTCTAGTTTGAGAGATTGATTACGTAAGAGAGTCACCTAATCGCACTTTGCATCAAAGCTACTGCCAGTGAAGTGGATTTTGATTGGTGCATTAGGGTTTGTGAAAGGGAGGAAAAAATGTATCAAAAACTTGATCAAAATTCATTTAAGGGGAGCACTTTGTGTGAAAAACAAGATCCTATGAACTTAAAGATAAAATAACACCAACAAAATATTCAATTTACATTTCCTCATTTTCTCAGAATTGAGTGAAGGATTTCAGGATGTTTTGTTCAGAAAAAAAATAGCATCCATTGGTTTCTTGTTTGTCTTTTGAGCAGACGTCAGATAATATACTTAAGAAGGATGAAAGATAATAAACCCATCCTCCTAGTTTAAGTCTTTTTATGTTAGCTTTATACTTCTCTATGTGGTGTGAGAAATCAGATCTGTTTCCTGACGCAACACAAAAGGGCAGAAAAATTAACCATAATTCATCTGATTATCTAAGAGAAAATTTCATAATCGAGAAAAATTACAGACAGAAAGTTGGATAACAAGTTATCAATAACGCAAAACCTTATGACAATTGCATAAATAAATAAATAATTGGACCCACATTTGGAGTGCAAAATACCTTGAGTTCTAGGTATAACTGAAAACTCTCCTCAATTATCAGAGCATCTCTGGGCCCCGTAACTCGGAAAGTATCGTGTATTGCGACCAAGCTCAAGCATCTCGAATCCATAACTCGCCCATACTCGCCCCATATAATCTATTATAGCCTCTGTGTGATATCGCTATTCACAATTTGCGATGCCTTCGAGTAACGGGGCCCTGGTGTTTCAAATAAACTGTGAAAACCAGAGTGTTTAAGCAGCAAGTTGATTTCCTGTAGGGCTCATTCCCATTGAATCTATCAGTCTACTTAGAATGATCCCACTCCATGCAGGGGCGGATCCAGAGATATTTTCTGACAGTCTTCCAAATTATCTTTGTGGATCCATCTTCCATTTTTGACCGTCTTCCGACAGAAAAAGATAGATACCCGTCAATGTAAACTTGAAAATCTGACCGTCTTCTGGAAGACCCAGAAGACGGCCTAAATCGGCCCCTGCCATGGGTGCTCTTGCTGAATGCATTTAGATTAAGAGATTTAAATGCCTCCGTTTGGCATTGAATGGAATATAGAAAAGCTGGTGATTCTATGAGTACGTTGGAAACAAAAGGAGGTGTGTCATTCAGTTAAGCCGATTTCACTTAGTGAGAGTCCCCAATCAGTTGGGTCTATAGGGTCTAGTAAAACCTGAGTCATGCTAATAATAAAGAATGTATTATAATGCATACTTATGCCATGTGCCAATGGGGGTAGGGGCGCACAAGATCAAAACTGTATTTCCTTAATTGTTTAATTTATAAAGGCCATTTGAAACATAAAGCAGACAAAGTTCACTTCAGGTAAATTAATCATACAGAAGAGCAGGGGATATGGATAGATAAAAAATGTGTTGGTTTGGTCTTACTCAGTTGCCGATCTGATTCTCTCTAGCCTTTTCATTTTCAAATCTCCACATCAATAAGACTTACATCATATTCCATAAAAGAAGAAATATGGAAATTTGCCAACGAAGAAGCTGTCATTCAACTTCGGGTACTCAGAATTTGTGAATGAATCCAAACATATATACTTATATATTGCCTTTTATCAGCTGCACCGGTTTTCTCTCTCACTATAACAGATCAATGGAACTCACAGCCACTTCAATTAATACACATATATTCACAGAGCTCTCAATGGGACAACTTTCCATATTGATTTCATATTGACCTCCTCTCTCACCTTCATAGCTATCCATGCTGGGGGCTCCCTATAACCAGAAAAGGGGTCCCAATACTGTATAAGCAGCTCTTGGTATTGATTTAACATTGATCTAACCTTTCCTGTGTTATTTATCCACAACATGGGATCTAATTGATTGTTGACGCGGCCCCAGGCGTGTATAGTTATAAGCCTCCACTCCTATCTTTTAATGGTTATCCCCAACTATGGACAAATTTCATCAACATTAGCCCTAAAGCATATAAGAGGCAATCAAGCGTAGCGATATATGTCACTTTACCAAAATTTTGCCACATTTATTGAGCATAACTGTGCCTAAATGTGAACTTTTCATTGACCGTGCTAAAAATATGTGCACTTCATTGAGTAACTGTGCCAAAAGCTGTGTATCTTTCACAGAATGTAGGAAAACCATGTCCCATTCATTGAGTTATACAGTGCCAAAAATGAGCCTTTCACTTCTTGTTCCAAAAATAAATATGCCCCATTCACCAAGATACAGTGCCAAAAAAAGTAAGCGAGCCTGAGTGAACCAAAAATATGTCTTATCATGGAGTAATTTTGCCAAAAAAGTGAGCCTTTCACTAGGTGTACCAAAAATATGCCCCATACATTTACTATTTTGGTTTTGCATTGAAACTCGTGATCCTTTCATACTGATATTAAACTAAAGTTATTAGTATAATTCATTTCACTGAATTATATACTGTCCAAAAAACATCCCCTATAATGAGATATCAAAGAGCAAATGCGTCCCTTTCAATTGAATTTTAATTGAAGTACTATGTCGATCCCTTACATTGAAGTATTGTACCAAAAATAGCCTTTCGCTGGATTCTTGTACCAAAAACATGTCCATTTCAATGGTTTATTGTACCAAGAATTATGTCCCTACCAAAAATAAACCATTGTAGACCTAAATTTTACATTAGTGTAACATTGTGATAATACAAGCACATTCATATCATTTCCTTAAAATATATAACAAAGAATATCCCCATTAGGAAGCACATGACCTTATACAAATACATATATACCTTTCATAAGGCCCAGAAGACTACACCTGTGCCATTTGGGTGTATAATCAATACTTCACTGTTATTGATCAAGTGTTTCTCTCTAATATTGTAAAGATCCATATACAGGTGCCCTTTTAAAGCTCCACAGGGGCTGGACTGTGGATTACGCATATCCAATGTTCCTAATGGATGATACATGTAAATGGGGCGAGGGATGGGAAAATATTGAAGATGTTGCAGGCAAGAGGTGGCAGTGTATCAGTTCAATATCGCATGCACTAAGAGCATGGACGACATAGGGCAGGTTTAGCTTAAAGGTCAATGTCCTTCCCCGTCTTTTCAGCCAGTCTGGTTGATGTCAGCGCATATTGAGATTACAAGTACTTTAACTGTGCACGGAATATAAATGTCATTCACAGACTGTAATGTAAGAAACACCTTCAACCCTTCATTGAAGAACTATGACCACAAGTGGGTAGGGAATACCCCTCCTTAATCACCAATTACGAAGATTAAAACAGCTCAATCACCAATCACCAAGATATATACAGGCCAATCACCAGTCACCAAGAATTCCTGAATCACGTTTCATGCAGAATATTGGGCTGAAATAACGCATCACGCTCGAAAAATAAGGCCAATGAAACAGAGCGCAATAGGTTTCCCCTACTCTTTTCACATGACTGACTCATCGATATATATCGCTTTCGATAAAACTGTCCACAGCCAAATGACTAATTTCATTTCATCTCATAGTGTTCACACAGAAAGTTTTTACTCTACCATCATAAAAAATATCCTTTTTTCCTGCCATAATACGTTGGAGTTCACTAAGCAAATGATGTCTTAAATGTGGGTTTCTGTTAGGACAAACCAATGACAACATGGCAGCCATCTTGATGACGACAGTACTAGTACGTGAAAATCAAGGTCGCTGATGACATTTCTGAGGGTAGCTTATAACCAGGCTCACATACTTTTATCTATTTATTCATAACAACCAGCATGTCATGTTTTCACCAGTGTTGGATGTGTATATGTGAGTGGAAAGGATATTTTGTTGAAATATTCAGGACTGATACAGTTACATGTATTGCTGAGGAGAGAAAATGGATTCAATTCCAACATATCCAGCTCCATTTGAACATTTTTTCTTTTAATAATTTTCCACTGCTTTTATTCTTGGTGGAGGTCTTCACTTTTGGAGTGCTCTCGAATATATTATTACTATAACTATTTTTTATTGTATGATGAAATAGGTTTTTCATTATTATTATTATTATTATAATTATCATTAACAGTAATATTATTATACATAATCAAATAAAATGGCCTTTTTCACATCACAAGGTACTCTTTTCTGATTCACATCTTTCTGACTTGTCTGGTCCAAGCATTCAAGTGGGCCGGCCGAATTAATTTGACCCCCAGCTCCGTTAGTCCGCTGTTCTGAATGTCTCTCTCACGTGTAAAAGCCAGGCTAAAAAAGTGCCTAACTCTCAAAAAGGTGCAAAACCAAAAAAGTGTACAACAAGATGTGAAAAGGGATGAAATTTACATGTACCAACTCCAGCTTATTTGCGACTCTCGCTAAAACTGCTACCTGACAGGTATGGCATGCATTAACAATACTGAAAATTTTTTATTTTAGGCAAATAGGCAAAATTATACAGCAACAAATTTTCACCCTGAAACAACATCATTTTTTTCATTAGTATAGCACACAGAAAAAGCAGGGAGTAAGCCATTTTTACATTTAATTGGAAAGTCATTTCAAACTTTTTACTTCAGAAGGATTCTTAAATCATGGCTAGAGTCTTAAAGCAACAGTTTCTCACCCATGTATTATTTGCCTGGATTGATACTTGTGGCAGGCATTTCCTACCTTCTTAAGGAGAAGATCAAGTGCAGTATATTCTCACCCATTTTATTTATCGGAACTGTCTATTACACATAAAAAGCAGGTAGAAAGCCACCAATATACATTACCACAGGACTTCTTGCCTTGTTCTGTTTAAGCTGCAGTTTACCACCGCAGCGAGCACACGAGCGAAGATTGCAGTAGTTGCACCGGTGTCCCAGGCCATCAGCGAATTTGGTCTTGTGGCAGATCTGGCAGACAGCGCCCTGGTTCCCTCCGCCTCCGCTGTTATTTGCTGGCTGCTTGCTTAGCTCCTCGTTAAGTTTGACGACCGATTTTTGATAACTATCCAGGTCATCTTGGAGATTTCTAAAAATAAGATGATAGCTTGTAAGTTAAATTTGTCTTAATTAACATGCATCTATTTTCCTAATTATTTGTTTAATTTAGTTTTTTTTCTTTGGGGGGGGGGGGAGGAAGGCTGTGAAGGCTCTGAAATTCAGGCTGATAGAGAGCAAGTGCAGTGGAGGAAAGTTTTTGATAGTACTCTCACACTCAGGATGACAGAGGAGAGTCACTGTCAGTGCTGTGAAACTTAGGGCGATGGCCAGCAAATTGGGTAAAGGACAGCTGCTGTCAGAGATGCAGGCTGATGAAAAGTGTTTCTGAATACAGGAATACTCTCAAACACAGAGCAACTTTAATGAGCACTTGTTGACTTCACATTGCAGTGTTCCATGACAAAATGACATGACTGCCAGCCAAATGGTTCCACGAAACAATTTCCAAGAAACAATTCCAAGAAACAACAGGTAAGCATCAACAGTTCCAGGTACTCTGTTTCCTCAGATGAACACCTTTAAGGATCAGTAAACAAATGAACAAACATCTGCTCATAGTTCATAAGCTTAAACAACAGGTGCATGTATCAACAATTCCAGGTACTTGGTTTCCTCGGAAGCACCTTGTTAAGGTTCGGTTGACAAATACCAATTGTACCAAACATCTGTGCCTAAGTCATAATCTGAAACAATAGGAATCAGCATTTTCCAGGTACTCAGTTTTCGCAGATGAAACAGTTAAGGATCAGTTGACAAATACCTGTGCCTAGCTCATAATCTGAAACAACAGGAATCAACAATTCCAAGTACTCGATCATCACGGATGAACACAGTTAAGGATCAGTTGACAAATGACAGAACACCTGTTCCTAATTCATAAACTCATTACTAGTGATTATGAAGAGAGATTCTCTGAAGACTGGTCCTTGGAAATGAAATGAGCAAGTTGATGGCAATTTATCTAATGCACCATGTGTTGCACCCAAGTAAACACATTTTTCTTTCATGATGGCTATATGCCTCAAAGCAACTGGTTAAAAACAAGAATGAATAATACTAGTATATAAATAAATAAATAAACTGCCTTACTCATTTTTTTTTAAAGGGGAGCACATTAAACATAAAAACAAATCAAATCCATTATTTTCACTGACCATGGAAGTCTGATCCATATTGGTCATTATCTATGAACACAACTTTATGGCTGCATTCAGAACACCAGACTTACTCGTCTGTGGATCAAATATGGCAACCTACTTAAAAGCTTGCTGCCTAATCCCCTTATAGACTATAAAGTAGATTTGCATTCAAGTGGGTCGGCCATATTTGATTTGCATACTAGTAAGTCCATTGTAGTGAATTCAGCCTAATTAGTACATAGTTTTCCAATATTTTCTCTTTTGTGCACGTCACAGTATTCTGGATAGCTGGGGTCCTTGGCTTAAAACAGGGACATGACCTGATGGCAGAATTTTTTGTAAACAAATGTGTGGGGTTTTTTTTTGTTTTGTTTATTATTATTTATTATTATTATTTTATTTATTTATTTATTTATTTATTTATTTATTTATTTATTTATTTATTTTTCTTTTTTTTTTAGATTTGGCTCCTTTAGTTCCCTCCAAATGATTTAATTGGAACAAGAATTTATACTCAGGTACTGTCTTGGTCATCATTTGCCCCAGAGACAAGTTGCCTCTAGGACAGGATGGCAGAAAGACTTGGCACAACATTTCACCGTACTAACTTGAATCATCATGGTCCCAAAAGAAAAAATCTTGTGAAACAGATTTTTTTCTTTAGTATTGTCTGGAATTGATACATGAGCAATTCCTAACAGAAATATTCACAAAAATGAAACAAATCTGTGGAACAGAAAATAAAACTCTGATAAAATGAAATTCTGATCCCAATGTGTTAAAATTATATGGAGTCTACTGTAAATCATAATTCAGATGTCATGTTTAACAAAACAAAAAAAAAAAAGAGTCTATAGATATATAGTCTTAGATAAGCTGACTAAAAATCTTAGCCAACTAAGTCTGTTTCATGAAGGATGTTCAGTGCTGATTGCCTAACTCGTTTTTCCTTGAAACTAATATAAGAAGTTATATTTCTACACAACGAAAAATACTATGACTGCTGTCTCAATATATCAGAATTATAACTTATTATGATAAGTATTTTAATTATTAAAATAATAAACCTAGTTTTATTCCTTTTTTCTTTTATTCATTCATTTCTATACATATCTATTTATTCTTTAATCTATCTGTCTACTCGCTCTTTCATTCATTTTTTCTTCTTCATTCATTATTTCATCAATACTTTCATTCCTATATTTATTCCTTCACATATATCCATTTATGTACCTAACTATATCCATTTGCCAAGCAAACTGAAATTGCCAGTACACCCCTCCTCCCCCCCCCCTCATCCACCCAATGCCATTCAAGGGCAGAAATATTGACCCAGCCCAGGCCAAACCCTGAGTACCAAAGATCACATGAGGCAACATACACCCTCTGACAACTAAGGAGAGTTTCTTAAATTCTATAGTGATCCCTGAAACACAGGGTGGAAGTCCCCAGAAGGCGACAAAAACTACTACATATAATATTTATATTAGTACGAAAGGTGGCCTGGGGGCAAAACATTTTGTGCAGCATGTCCATCTGACGTCAATTCATATTCCCCGAGCTATGGGTTCACACAGATTCCTAGAAAGTAAACTCCCTAGGTTTACTTGGCTGCACGGAATGTTTTTTACCTGGAGGCTATGAGGAGTCAGGTTTATGTAAACAATTCTCAAGATAAAGGGGCTGTTCCACAATATCTCCATTGTGGTTCTATCTTAAATTCTCTTCCATAGTATTCTTCACTCATAGTTGTAATATTTTTTGTTTAACCTTATGCTATATTCCCCTTCCTAACTTTATTATTTCTCCATAGCGTTCCCCCTCCCTCATTAACATGGAACCTTCTACTTTCTCAAATCAGGCCCGTAGCCAGGGGGATTTGGGGGGTTCAGAAGATCCCCCATTTTTGCTGGCAAAAGGTCCACTCTGAGTAAATTTGATCTAAGATTTCATGACAAAAGGCCTACATTATCAGAAAAAGAACCCCCCTCTTGCAATTGCTGGCTACGAGCCTGCAAATACTCTTGGATAGAGGCTATTCAACTGGATAGCCTCATTCCCTAAGGAAGATGTTCTAGATAGTCTATTATACTAGAGTAGACATTGAAATGTCAAAGATTGGATACTCTACGTAGACACTGCAATAAACAATCTTTTCAATATCTAACTGTTGATTAAAGAAAAACTGCTTTATTTTTTTACCCCTTCTATTTTTTACCAAATTAAATAAGAAGGATGTCAGATGTTAATATCTTGATAAAAATTATTATTATCATACAAGACCATGATACATTCTAGTAAGTATCAAGCCTGGATATATATTCACATTGCATATCTTTATTCCCACTTCCCACTTTTGGCAATCAACCAAGACTCTTTAAGAGTGGGAATAATTGTGTTTTCCAGATAAATAATAGATCACAAATCCAGATGACATGCTCCTTCCTGCAGCAGTAATTTGTTTGGCCAGGGCAGTTTCCGGGTGGAGATGGGGTGGAGGGGATTAAGACTGGTTACTCAATCTTCAAGGGGTTTCTCGCTAAATTGCTTTTAGCTTAAGTGGCTTAGATGTCTAGCACACCTACTGAAGCTGCTAAATGATAATTATTTACCCCCTAGCAGCTTCAGTAGGTCTGACAGACATTTAAGCCATTTAAGTTGATTGCAATTTCGTGAGAATCCTATCGGAGATAGATCAATCCACAGTTATTACAATAGGGTCTGGGAATGGTCCCTAAGAGAGGCTGCAGCAGAAATGTCACACTGACATTTGAGTCTATTATCTCCTCGATATATATTTCTCCCGGCAGCAACCAGGGGCTGAGTCTGCTACATTATGCCAGCAAAATGTTACTAGATCAGTAGATTTTTCAAAAGGTTTGCATTTGGTTGTCCAACATGGCCAGTAGAGATCTTTTAACTTAAGGTTTTCAAAATAACTTCAATGTTGATTTTTTTTTCTAAAATGTAGTTGTTACATGATGATTTTTTTAAATGTTTGACAAAATCAAGGTCTTGTTGTTATCTATATTAATTAATGCAATAAGGGAAAATATCTAGTCTTATTGAAATCATTATTTGGACCAGTGAATCCTGATTTTGACCAGTAGATTAAAGAAAACTGATGGTTCGCATGGCCAGAAAGCTGAAAATTTTATGGCCAGGGGTTTCCCCAGGATTTGGGGTACAGGAAGTCCAAAATGTGAATCTGTATTTTGGTCATCGATCTACAGGGAGTCCAACCCAAGCAAGCCCAACCAATCATCATTTCCCAAAAATTGTGTATGCCATCTAGCCCGTCTTTGGAAATATAAGCAGTCTTTTGAGGAATGTGTCAGTCCTAATGACGGCTGGATGGCTCGATCTCTGGGGAAAGCTTCATTTATGGTGCAGACTGGGAGCCTGTTTCAGTAGATAACTCTAGTCCAAAAAGTTGGTCTAATCATTTAGAATGAAAATTTTGGTTTATTCAGCTTTAGATGAAACCATGATTAATTCCACAGAAATCATCTCCAATAAAATATTGGTCTCAGTAATAAGAACTATCTTTTCTGTTATAAGACAGCAAAATATTTCATTTGATTGAATTTTATTTACCTAAGGTAAACACAGACTATAATTTTATTTTAAAGATAAATCAGACTTATTTTTTTGTGTTTTAATTTTTTATGATTTTTATTAATTATTATTATTTATTTATTTATTTATTATTTTTTTTTTGAAACATTCCCTTTTGTCACTGTGACATTTCAGCTGTTGGTACATGCATCCTTTTCTCGGTATCAATTTCTCTTAGACAACAATGTCTCCTAACATGCAGACAAGTTTCATAAATAAACAGACACAAAGGGTGAGTCAGACTATGCTGCAATATGTCATCAGACATGAC